GAGAGAGAGAGAGAGAGAGAGAGAGAGAGAGAGAGAGAGAGAGAGAGAGAGAGAGAGAGAGAGAGAGAGAGAGAGAGGTTTTACGACATTAGGGCTCAGACTCGGCATTGGGCAGAGACATTGCGGGGGTGCTATCTGGGATTGGTATCAGCGACATTTGGGTTGACGACCTTCTCATCTCTTCCCCCCCTCTTCTTCGTCTCTTCCCCCTCCTCATCTGTGTATGAGTCGTGCCTTGCGCTTTCGTCCCTGTGTCCAGCGCCAGGGCAGTCACACCGTATGATGATGATGATGTATGTCCAGTCTGCGTTTCAACATTGGTTGGGTCTGATCATTGGTATTTCAGTCTTCCGCTGTGCTATCTTGCTCTATCTGTGCGAGGTCGGTTCTTGGTTCTGGTCTGTACCACCTTGGTATGCAACACACGAGCAAAACAGATGAAACTAACTGGCGCGTGGCAACTGTCTGACTCCCACCAAGATTTGCAAAAATTGACGAGTTCAGGGCACGTTGAGATTCAGGGGGTTTCGCCTTCACTTAAGGCAGGCACACACCTGCTGCAGGACCTTATGCCGAGGGGTAAACCCTCGCATAGGTCTCAGAAAAATAAACTGAACAACTTCTGCCTTAGGGTCACATCCAAATTCTTTACCAAATAAAGCAAAAAAAAATGAAGTTAAAAAATAGTTTTTTTAACTTTTGAATTTTAATTTTTTTTGGCTCGGCCGGGCAAGTGGTCCCGGGCCACTCTGGTAGCCTAGGATCCAACACGTTTTTTTTTTTTCTTTCTTTAAAAATTTGGGACCATTTCTCGATTTATGCATGTCATCCTTGCGCAGGGGTCATGCTCATCTTCTTCTTCTTCTTTTTTTATTTTTTTATTTTTTTATTTTTTATTTTTTATTATTATTTTTTTTTAACAGAACCTCGCGGTTCTGGCTCCTACCATTCTGGGGAGCGACAGTCCGGTTCCTTATCCCCCGGCAAGTCAATATGGAATACATCAATGACTCACACACGCTCCTCCCCATTATGGCTGAGAGGCCCCAGTAGGCAGCATTGATTACTTCCCTGAGGAAGGATGTACCACCTCTCACCCCTGCCTAATCTAGCCTGCACTAACTCTGGCTGCCAATCTATCTGATCCCAGATCTGCTCCTCTCAGCTATGAAGCTGTCAGGTATTTATGATTATACAAGAGCATTCTGGAACACTTATATGCCTTTTGAAGCCTCTAAAATTCTATAACAGCTTTTGCCTTGTTTCTGTCTAAGCCATAAACCCTAAGCCCTCGCTCTTAAGTCTATCCAAACCCTAAACCCTAAACCCTTAACTATAACTTCTATTTTGCTTAAACATCAATCCAGTGACCTCCACTTTCTCTCCCATTTCCTGTTTTTAATTTGGCCTGGGCTAATTTACGCTCTTTCCTCTCAGACCTGGGGCCCAGATCCGTCGAATGTGCCTATTCCTTCTAGAAAGAGGCCTTCCCTTGTCCTGCTATCAAGTAGACTGCCATATATTCAGCCTGCTCGTGAGACGCCTTCTCCCCTGTCCCTTATTGTCCCATTCTCTCTTTCTCTATATGTCGCTAGGGGTCATGCTCATCTTCCTTCTCTGTATCGTTCCAATTTTAGCGGATGTCCCGAAGGACTGATCCAACAGGTTTGACTCACTAGAAGTGAGAAAAAAGGCGTGAAGCAGCTGAAAGCAGTATGAAAATGAGAAGAAAGTGTTCTGTTCAGATTCATCCCCTCTTGCTGCGAACTTCCTAAGGTGTCATTTTTCTTTGCCTTCATATCGTCAATAATAATATAATATTACTAGTTAGAAAAAAAAAAAAAAAGAAACAAGAGAAGAAGATGACGTATATAAGTTTTTTTTGTGGCACGACAACTCCTATGCTCGAGGATTTCCCCAGTGGTGGCATCTGTGGCAGCAGAATCACCCGTCTGTTTTGTGGAAAGGAATTCTGAGGGAGAAAGGTTGTCGTAGCAACATTTCACATGACACACATGATGACATTACATCTATTCTGAAGA